CAATGCCCAGTGGCCCATTTGAGATGCAGGAAGCTGTTTCCTAATCCCGGCCTCACCCAGACATATAGCCAATAGCCTCATATAGCTAGTTAGCAGCTGTAGCATGTAGCTATGACCAAAATGAAGGCCAACCTTTGTGGAACTGTTTCCCAACAAACCCGCCGGAAGGACTCCTTGCTGAGCAACCCGAGTTAACTCCACCGAGAGAGGGTGCAGAAAATCCGATAGACCCAAACCCTGGTGCCCGACGTCGATGGCGATCGAGCGCGTACCGAGACGGGACCCGCTACGCAGACGAGACATGCCCGACCGGGCGACCGATGTTTTTGAGGGCTTGGTGGGCAGTATGGGCTATCAGGCAACCTCGGAGGAGGAGTAGTCCAAAGTGTTAAGGCTTATCAGGGGTGGGGCCTTTTGTTTTTGGGAATATACATGCAAATAGTCAGACATCATTGAAATAATGCACTGATTGTGGACCAATCTATCTCCGTCGGAATGTTGAAGGATGTGTTTCTTCATCCTTGACATGCCTAGCTGGCATGATTGACCGTGCTCTCTTATGTTGTGGCGGAGCTCAGTTTCTTTTCGTAGTCGAAGGTTGTGTGTCCTTGCCAGAGAATCTCGCAGACTTTGAAAGATCAAAGATCACTGCCCCTGCAGGGAAGGTGCTTTCATTCAGATGGCGAACCTGAGAACCAACAAGAGCCTTGTGTCCATCATGTCCCAGCAAGAAGCACATGCACCTGACTTTGAAGTGCATTGCATGTCCGTTGGTGGCTTCGAACCCGTTTTCCTGGGAGGTCAAGCCCATCAATCTGAAGGTGTCCACAGTTTCCTTCGCCGCTCCAGAGCCGCCAGGTTGGCCCAGTGGTTCAGGAAGGCTTGACGCGCTGTGAGAAGATCTCCAGACTGAACCGCGTGGCGGGTCGTGTCCAATGGACCGGAGCTTTGGGCTTCGCAAAAGTTCACCCAGGTCGAGAGATGGAAGAGGGCAGGTTCCAACGAGTTCAGAAGTGCCACTCCACATGCAAAGGTGCATCAACCGTTTGACTGGAATATGCTGGAATGCTTGAAGGGTATCAAGGTTAAGGCCTGTAGTTGGGAGCCTCGGCCCAGGTCACTTGCATCCCCACGATTCAGGGCAGGCAAGTAAGCGAGCTTGGCTTGAAGAGCTGCTGGTCAACCAACCTCGTACGAAAAGGTCGCTTCCACACGTGTTCCCGCAGTTCTTCCTACCAGTTGCCAATTGCTGAAAGCTTCTTCAGATCAGTTGAACCGCTGCAACTCGGGTTCCTCGTGGCGCTTGGCTGCGGAATCGATGTTTTTGGTTAAACGACACTGCTCATCGCAGGCTTCGGCTTTTCGATGTTTGACTTGATTTCTCATACACCTCTCCTTGTGTCACGGTGACCAGTGGAGCTGGTGCCCAGTCTATTGGTGATCATTGATTATGTTCAGTCTGTGTGCAGGCAGATCCGATCTCTAACTAAAGACATTTGCATCAGATTCTTTGACCTGGCTTTTCATCTTAGCAAGCCAGGCTGTGCCAGCTGTGCCAGGTTTCCAGTTTGTAGCCAGTGTTTCACAGGTTTTGCTTGACCAATGTCTTGGCCTTCGGTCCTATTAGCCTAAGCTGTTTTATGCACACCCCGCTGATGTGTTTTGGTCAACAAGTGCAGGCCATTCTCGTCAGAGTGTCAAACAACTGATTGGGCGGGTCGCTTCCCCTGCTTAGGCAAGGCCCGGATCAGCACATATTTCTGCCAGAAGACCCTGTCAAATCACTGAGGCATCGGTGCGTTGGGTTGGTGCCGGAGTGTCAGATCCCCGACTCCGGCAACTTCATGTTGGGTGTCTCGGGGAGATCCTTGGCCGAGCATGTATTGGGTAAGGTGAAGCTGTTTCGGACAATGTTACTGTACTTCAAAAGGGCGTCGGAGCGCCAAGAATTTGGTCAATTTCGATGGATAGACCTGTCGGCCCCAGTGACTTAAGATAGACCTGTCGAACCATGCCACTTCGCAACAGTCGGACCTGGAGGCAGGTTCAAGCAGATCAACCAATACAACAAAGACCTGGCAAAGGTTCAGAGCACCTGTGAGGTTCATTGGACAAGGAAGTCTTGGAAGACCAGTCGTAGCAAGTCAAGCTGAGCCAAGGTGAGTCTTCTCAGGTCGTTTATGACAAGAGAATTTGGCTCAAGTTGAGCTGAAGCAGAGATCATGCATTCATGGCAGATTCTGCCGCAGAACGGCCGTTGGGAAAGGAGGTCCGCGACGACTGGGGCCCTTAAGCTGAGTTCAAGCAAGCCAGCTGCTTTCTCCAACGTGAGGTCGGAAACCAGAAGAAACCAGCAAGTCAATGCCAGGGTTTCGTGTCAATCACCAGTTTGAAGTTATATTTGTTGCTGAATCATTAAATTATCCAACTCCCCCAGAGCATCTTGGAAAAGACGGAGCCCAACACCTCTAAGATGACCGTGTGCTTTTTGTGACCTGGCGCTTGCGCCAAATCAGCCAGGAAGCATTACTCAGTAGAAAGCCAGCTCGCAGAAATCCAACAGCAGACCTGTCCATCCACTTACTATCCGGCTGGCCCCAGTGCTTGGCAGCATGATCCGTATTCACCACCATCACCTGCCACCCCGCGAGCCACCACACGACCCACAGCGGCACGCAATCCGCACCTTTGCCTTGGAGCTGATGGAACTTGAGCTGGATGGATCGTCGAGAACAGTTTCTTTGAAGGACCTGTGGGGATGAACGTCCGCCGCTGGGGGGCCTTTGTGGAGCGGATCGCTGAGCCAGCACCTCCGATGAGAGATGTGGCTGGTTGATTTGGGGTGTTGAAGAGGCACAGGTAGACAGATGGAGAGGCATGGAGCTGGGTGGATTGCAGATTTTTATCCCAAGCTGCAAGCTTTCGAGCCTTGCTTTGGAGTCAGGTGGAGACACCGTGGAGACTCGTGAAGTGCTTGAAGATGTACAATGTATGGAAACCAGCGATGGATGCAGGCCCACCAGGTGTGACCATCGGACAAGGTGTGACTGTAGCCATCATATGAGAGCCGTCGGGTGAATGGAGGTCAAGTCACGGTCAATGGCTTTTCGCCAGATCATGTTGAAGCATCCGGGGCAAAAGCAAAGGCAGCAAGGGCTAAACTTGCACCTCCAGCATGGGGTGAGCCTTTTGACCTTCCCAGTTGAAGGTCTCTTCGTGAGCCTTCCAGGCTCATAGGACCAAGCGTTGAAGGCTCATCGTGGCGTGCCCAGATGTCTCCCAGCGTGGCATGCTTCGTGGCTGCTTTGGCCGAGCTGTGCTGTGCCATCCAACCATCCTCCCCACTCGCCCATGCCGAGTTCACTGGGCGTCCGCCTCCGCCTGCTGGCCGCCCGCCGCTCCAGGTACATCGCTGCAGCGACTTCCGACCGGACGCCTCCGTGCCGGGTGGGAGGCTCGTTCCCCTGTTAAAGCCATGTGCCGAGGCTTTTCGGATGGAAGGAGTGGTCGATGGGGTCTGAACGCCCCACCGATTCCGGTGACCTCGTTGAGTCTCGTTCGGGAAGCTTTTCCCTCCCATCTCCCCATGATCGAGGCTGCCTGAAGTATCAACGAAGGGGCACCACCAGTGACCAGGATGGAGCCTCGAATATTGGAACTCCCAGGAGGGGGGGAAGTCAAACCGCAGTTATGACAAACCGAGATGAATTCATGTTGGTGTCCATGTCCAATGTGATGGGAAGGTCTTCACTGGCTGGTTTCAGTGATGAAGATCAAGTTCTGAGAATCCATAGACCTCGCTCTGAGCCCCCAAAAAACGAGCGAACACGTCCATCGCTTCGCTCCATGAAGTTCACATCCATCGCAACGAGATCATGGAACAATCCCATCGGCTTTTGCATGTCTTCCATGGCTCCCCAAAAAGAGCTTTGCACTGCACCTCGCAGATCGCCAGACCAAGCAGCACACGGCAGGTGGTCTTTGTAGGGTTTTTGCATTCAAGTTTGTGGGGTATGGACCGGTCTGGATGCTGTGCATCTCAGAGTCCTTGATGTGTTGCGATCTCGGCTTGGTGGGGGGTGTTAAGAGTTGGCGATCGCAGGGCTTGCTCCTGACGTTGACCTTTGCTTGCTTCGGGAGATGCAAGCTGAAAGAGAGGTCCGAACTGCCGAATGTCAGCAGGTCGCTGAAAACACATGGGCCCTGGGCATTCATGGGTTGTAAGATGTTGTAAGTAGAATATGGCTGAAGCATTCCGGATTCGTTCGGTTCCTTCTCTGAACAACCCTAAGGTCCAGCTTGAGTTGAGGGATATGGCCACGGCGTCAATACTGCTTGTTAAGCAGCGGAACCTGAGAAATCTCAGTTGAGTTCATATGAGGTCAAACGGAACAAGGGATCAAGACCACACCTGTGGCACAGCCGAAGCCATAAACACTTAAGAACACTTCACCACTGCGAGTTGCCCATCTCGCGCTCGCGAATCCAGGCTTTGGGTCGCTGGTGTCCAGGCGGATGGACTTAAGGTCACCGCTGGTTCTTTGTTTTCCCACTTGCTGCGAGCATGGGAGCCAGGCCCATGGCCCCATGGTCATCGCCCATCGACCTGCCGCCCTGTTCGTCTCCACCGGAGCCCGTTTCCGAATCGACTCGAAAGGCTTGAACTGAGGTGCAGGAGACGCTTGGTGCGACACCGCTGAAGACCACTGTCATGTGAGAGGCACTTTGTAAAAACCTCCATGGGTTCGAGAGAGGGGTTGGCGGACCACACACCGCGGTTAGCACCACTGGGCCCTGTTTGCCGAGCTTCCGGGTGCCAAAGGATTCAGCAAAGACCTTCAACAGTGGTCAGGTCAAGGTGTGTAAGACCTGTTGGGCGAAGGCAGCACCTTTCGGTCGTACAGAAATGATTCACAAAGGAGCGATTCGGCAAGAAGCTTCAGGACATCATAGTAATATCAAAGTAAAGCAGTTTATTCCAGGAAACTGTAAACATAATCATGTGCAAGCTTTTAAAAAGCCAAACAGCCTTGTACATGCGTCCTTGCCGCCCATCGAGACAGGAAGATGGCATCCCCCCGAGCCGCGCTTCCTCTGAGCAGCACCCAGCCCTCAGCCATGGTTTTGAGGTCCCTGCCACTGAGGCTTTAAACTCAGACTTCCTGGCGGATGCTGGCATTCTTGGACAACGTTTTCAGATCGAACTCCACTCCGACGGAAAGTCCGGAGCCAAACATTTGAGAGTTTGGAACCAAGAGCACTTGGCAAGTGGAAAGCGTGCCAGGGGTTTCATTTTCAGAGCCATCTTGCACATCCAGGCAGCCAGTGAGACCATGTGAGACATCCCTCCCTTTTCGGTCAATGGCCATCGATGTATTGAGTCAGAACGCCCTCCGAACGTCCATCGCTGGCGTCGCCGAACGCCGTCGCCTGATCCGTGGTCGCCCGAAGGCCCTGGGGTCGCCACTCGGCCGACGGCGCCCTCAATGCCATAGAAGATTGACAAGTTGAGGTGTCGAGAGTTGGCTGTGTGCGGGTGAAATGGCTCGGTCCTTTTGCCCCAGCCAGACCACGGTGATGCAAAAGGCACTGGATTGTCAAGTCTTTGAGAATCAAACAGGTGCCAAGTTGAAGTTGGTTGGAATGAACTTTGGCTCGGTTGCAATTATTTGCGCCTTCAACGCCACAAAGGGAATGAATGACACATCCTTGCTGGAACATGCTTGAATTGAAGGCATGGAAACGCTGTTTGCTAGTCTATTTAGATCGCCAGAAGAACTTGGCACACAGACATGTCTTGCATGAATAATTGCACGAAAAGAGGTGCACACATAGAAATTAATAGGTGTTCATCAGAGATCCTGGCATAAACGCGTAGTTTAGCTTAGATTCAGTTTGTAATATTTGAGATTTGACAAGCGCTCGCCTGATGACTTGAATGCAAAATGCTCAGACAGAGTCATCCTTTTGAGCCTGAAAGATGAAGCGCCCATCCAGACTCAGCTGCAGTGATTCTCATCATGGTCAGCAACTGGCTCGACGGCAGCTCCGCCACATAACCTTGGGTCAACCCGCCAAAGGGCAGGGCATGAAAAAACATGGGGAATGATAAAAGGGAACCTCTAAGCTACAACCAACACTTGAAGACCTGTGTTTGCCACGAACGCAAAGACCCCTTCTTAAAGGCAATATCCTACAGCACAGGGTCACCAAGGGCGGCCAACACGTCGGCGACGGCTTGTCGGTCCGGCCGCTCCGCCGCAACGGTTCCGAGATGGAGGTCGCAGAGAGGTCAAATGAATCGTAGAACCTTAAAGCGATGACTGAAACACAAAATCGATCCAAATCGTGTTTTTGTTTGTGTTTTTTTGTCCATTCGCCCAAAAAAAACACCTAACCAGAGCTAAATAGATTCTGCATGGTGCAATAGGATAGTAATCCACCGAGTCGTCCTTACAACCTTGGAGAGTCACAGATGTGACCTTTGGATGACAGTTCTACAGCTTGGGAGCGAATCATCCCTAAGGATTCCATGTTGGATTCACGTCGTTTACTTAGCTTCTTAACTTCCGAAAATTGCATCACTTGCTGACTTGCTATCTAACACTGACGGGCACTCAACGTGTGGTGAACGTGGAATGAGTGAAGTCACCACATCAGATCCAGGTGTTCCTGGCCAAGTTCTACCGGTCAGGTGTGGAAAATCAATCCAAAAATCTTTGTGCTTTTGTCGCAGCAGATGGTCAAGCACCAGGAGTACCATCCAGTCTCTCACATTGGAGGCCCCTTGGAGGCCCCTCCCTCTGTGGGTCAGTCCCAGAGGATCATTCTCAGTGGAGCATCCACCCGGATAGGACGCAGCTGACGTGAAGAAAGCGTAGGCGTCCGCAGTTAATCCACTGGGCCTTGTTGGAGTGTTTCTCCTTCAGATGTGGGACGCCTCCGCCGATCGATTGGTGGGCATTCCCAAGCATCGGGACTCTGGTCGAAAGTGGTTTTAGCCGCTTGGGTCGCCAACATGATCGATTGGCCTCGAGCGATTGGTGCAAACACAAATCTCAGCCCTTAGGCCCAGCCCGAGGGTCCAAAAGAATGGTAGGTACGAGCTGGCTCCAAACTGGCAGACTAGTCACGAACGTCCTCCCGGATCCTTTGGGAAGATCTGTTTGAAGAAGTGGATGAGTCCTTTACAGCTGGGCCAGTGGATTTTAGGTTTTCAAGTGGGATGGAGACAACAAAAATAATAGACCTCTCAATTTATCAGTCATATTTCACACGTCCATGTAATCCGGCAGCTTTTGGCCTGCCAATTGCTCCCATGCCAATAATTTTGGACGCAGATTCAACGGTTTTAGGCCACCACTTTCCGCGGCGTCACAGGTCCTGGTCCGGGGTCCTGGTCCTGCGACCTGCAGTGAGCCCGCAAGAATCACACCCGCGTGGGCTTGATCACGCGCCACCAACGAGAATTTGCGCCACCTGGAGGGCATTCCTCAACGATCAGTGTGCCACGGATCAGGGCAGTCAGCGACAACGGCCTGCAAGTCGATTTCTGTTGGGCCCCCAAAAGGTCCGCAACCCTTGGCACCTTGTAAGTCGTGTGACTGCGACTGGACCAGAAGGCACAACTTGATGCCCAGAGCGGCCAGAATGTGGCTACAGGACCCGGCGCCATCATTCTGTTCACCTGTGATCACCTGTGACTTTGTGACTTTGACAGGATAAAGGGTAAACCTGAGGCTTCAACATCTCCAGCACTGCAGGGTTTTCACATGTTTTCACTGTTTTTGGTGCTTGGGGGTCAGCGAGTATCAAGGGAGGTCTTGGGCCATCATGAACCCTTATTCCACCCACCAAGTGAAGAGGCTTCATGGAATCCCGAGCAAGTTATTTTCTTGGTATGCAGCCACGTCAGTGCATGAATAGAAACTTCTAGTCAATCAGTTGCATCTTCCATCCAAAATGGATAGGGACTCTAAGACGACCGAAGAGGTGTCAGGTGTCAGCTTGGGGAAGTGTGGTTCACGGTTCACACCGTCCTGTGTCGCTGGACGGACAGGACGCAGGGGTAGACCCAGATCAACCTGTGGTTGGCGCAGTTTGGCCGGTGAGAAGTTGTGGCTTGGCATGCCGAAGCATCACTGACTTTCCAATGACACGATATAATGAAAAAAATAGGGTTTTGCACGGTTTTTCTAAACTAAACTATTGTTTCTTCAAATTCTACATGCCTACATCATTTTGCACCATGGATAACATGTTTTGGGGTTGTTCCTATGGGTCTATGACAGAGGCCTTTTTGCAAACAGCATCCATCCCTCAGGCCGAGCGACGCTGCATCAGGTCAGAGGCATGTCTAGAGCGACGCTGCAGCAGTCGGTGGCCCAGAGAGGCCGCTTTTTCAGCTGGTTCTCATGATCGAATCTGCGCCGGTGGCGGCGCCGTGGCTGAAAAGACATTGTGACATTGTTGAGAGTTTAGTCAAAATATGTTGTGGCGGCGGGGGGAATAGCCAGTTCAATAAATACGTACATGTTCGAGTTTAGTATCATGCTTCAACATGTGCAACTTGATAGTTTGGTTTATATAAATTGTGGTCCTTCAAATGCACATGTTCTGACAAGCTTTGATCACTTACCTTGGTTCGCAGGTTGTAGTTTATCCGTGACTTCGGGAACAACAGTATTTTCCAGACTCCAGAATGTTTCAACGGGGGTGTCGTAACCCTCCCTATCCATTTCCTCATCCATCCTTATCGCAACAAGGCGCGTGGCACGCTCATGAAATGTTAAACTGCGCCTTGGAGCACTGGCAGTTTCCTGTGGCTTGGTGCAGTTGCTGGATCAGAATGACGTCCTTGCGTGCCCAGTAAGCAGAAGTGGCTTGGAAGAGATGGGTTTTGCTTGATTTTATATGATTTTATAATGCACAACAGTTGACAACATGATGAGTGAATTTATGTGAAACGTTGGATTGAAGTAAAATTATCCTATCAAAAGAACTGGAGTGGTGCTACTCACCAAATACCCCGCGGTGCAAACAGCGGTCCATTGATGAGTCTTGGTACCAGGTCATTCCTTTGTTGGGATATCAAATTTTGCCCAACCAGATTCCATTTTTGCAATTTGACGTCCCCGCGATACGTTCCAGATTTTGGTGTTTGGCTGCATGCAGCTTGTCTACCATCATTTTCAGCAAGTGAACGTGGATAATTCCCAACCAATCAGAAGGCTTCTGCTCCTGAGGATCCTTTCTTTCTATGACAAAGCGCCATAAGGGTCTCCTTGCGTCGAAGCTGAAGCTTTTAATTGCGCAGAATGCTGAGCAGACCAAGCACGAGCGCCGCTCCCACAGCCTGTGCTTTGTCGGCCAATTGGTCTCTTTCATTGATTCTGGATGAAGGGACCCTCGAACTAGTAGGTTCAGTGGAGACCAAAGAACCTGTCATAGCACCTTTCAACCACTACTAGCAGGACCTGGAACTTGAATGGACCTGATCCCTGAATCCTCCCAAATGTTTGCTCGAAAATAGGACCTTGGAAGGCCTAGGCACCTTAGGCATTTTGCATTACTTGGAAGTTCTTTCACCTGGTGATAGACTTTCCCGAGAGGCGCTGTTTGGAGATCTCTGCCGGACACGATTCCTCTCTGACAGACTCCCGGCACACGCCGGGAGTCCGCCTCTGCGTGCTGGCACTTGGAGGCGCTGGGCTTTGCACGAAAAAGACATCAATTGATTGTAAGATGATCATGCTTGAGTTTGAGGCCTTTTTGATCATTGTTTTTTTGCTTCTCCACAGTCAGACACTGAATCGGTGTTTCATTTTCACTTCATGGTGACCCACAGAATGCTGGTGTCACCAACATTTAAGCTTTTAAGGACCCTCATGACATAATTCAACAGAAAGTAGACACGTATAAACATGTCTAATCAGGATAAATAGATCAGATCAGATAAGAAGGTAAAGGTGACCATCCTTCATAATGTCATTCAGAAGTTAAATAGATCAGATCAGGTGACCAATACGACCAAGGATGTGCCAAACCGGATCCCAATACGACCCCAGTCGTCTTCGCCCACATGGGAGCATGAACCGACGTGGTGTCCCCGGCTTCCCCGTGCACCTCGGATGGATTTCAGGTACCAAACCGAGTGCGCACTGTGCGCCCTCATAGCCACCCAAACTGGGAGATTCATGGTAACTATGTGCTTTCGAAACGCATGTTTTCAGAGTTTTTGTTTCGAGCTTTTGGTTGATTCACGTCTCCGAGGTGACTGTTTGCTTGAGATTTGGCACCCTGAGCAGTGCAGCCAGATGCAATGGTCAGCAGTGGGACT